TACATCCCCTCACACTCTCTTCCCCGTTCTCCCCCTCCCTATTTCACACACTCAGACACAGAAACACACACACACACACACACACACACACACACTCACACACACACACACACACACACACACACAAGTGCACTTGCTTTCGATCAAAGTAGAGTCTCTTTACTGTCTTCTCCGCCCAATAAAGCGGTGCCTCGTACAATACTATTCAGGACAATGATGATGATAGCGATGGTCATGGTTGTGGTTCAGGTTATGGTTGTGGTTGTGGTTGTGGTTGTCGTTGTGATTGTGATTGTGATTGAAGATCACAATGATGATGATGGATGGTGGCAGTAGTGGTGGTTGTGGTTGCGATGATGATATTTTTTTAATGTATGTGTTTTATGCCCCTATCGATACAATTTGAATCATTTAGGAGGCGGGCTTCGGACGTACCTATCAGGGCAAAAACGAGTTGGGAGGGATACGACATACCAGCAGAAAGACCGAGATACACAATAAAACTTCTCCCCTCTCGGGAGTCGAATTCGGGTCTCCAGCGCACGACAATAAAGCACCTAACTGCTACATCACATACAATGATGATGATGATGATGATGATGATGATGATGATGATGATGATGATGATGATGATGATGATGATGATATACTTCAATAATACAAAAACATATTTATTTTAAGCATATTTATGTTTTAGACTCGAGTCCGTGGTGCAGTGATTAGGCTCTTCTCGTTGCCCGCAGATGGCATGAGTTCGATTCCCGTGAGGGGAGGATTTTTTAAAAATGTATAGAGACCTCATCTTTCTCCTGGACGTTGTTCCCATTCCTCCAAGTCCGGGTTAGAGGAATGGGAGAGAAAAAAGGAGAAAGGGGGAGAAAGGGGAGAGGAGAAGAGTGAGAAAGGGGAGGGGGGGGGGGAGAGACAGATCTAGATAGATTTGCTGGAGAGAAAAGGGAATAGATAGATAAATAGATAGATAGATAGATAGATAGATAGATAGATAGATAGATAGATAGATAGATAAATAGATACAATGACAAAGAAAGTCAGTGAGACACACGATAGATAGATAGATAGATAGATAGATAGATAGATAGATAGATAGATAGATAGATAGATAGATAGATAGATAGATAGACACACAGAGAGAGAGAGAAAGAGAGAGAGAGTGAGAGAGAGAGAGAGAGTGAGAGAGAGAGTGTGTGTGTGGATGGGTGAGTCAGCGTGGCAACCCGCCGTTGAGTATCGTTAGCAAACATCACACAGTGGTGGTGGTATTTGTTCTGCGTGAGTTTCTCTTCTCTCTGTATGTGTCATTTATTCGCTTCCCTGTCACTTAAGGAAGTACAGATCTAATAATATTATCATCGAGGCCGCTTGCTTGCACATTTGAGAGTGTATTTGAGAGAGGCTTTTTCATTCAGTAATCCGACATCGCTGGAAATAGTTTGTTGGTTAACGCAAGTAATTTCATTGTTTCGTGGCGAGATGGACATACGCAACCCTCGCCAATCCCAGCTCATGGAAGGACGATCTAGGTTTTGCATTAACAAATACAACATACTGTACCTTCTGAAATCGATTTGCGTCATTGTTGCCTCGCTTTGCGTGTCAGCTGCTGCCATTATCGTCATCGTTAACTCTCTTCGGGGTGTGGACAAGGTTCCCATACTGAGCGTTATAAACCAAGCGTCGACGAACATCATCGAAGGCCTGTCTTCCATGCAGGAAAAGTTTGCCAACCTCGAGCAAAAAGTGTTTAAGGTAGTAGAAGAAATTACAACGCCAAGTCAGGTTAAGCTCTGCTCCTACAGCAACGGCTGCGAGCTGAAGAGAAAGCAAACAATGATAACCCACTGTTACAGAGTGTTCCAAGAGACACCTCTTACTTGGGGCGGCGCCAGAAAGAAATGTGAATTACTCGGTGGCTTTCTGGCCGAAATCCACGACCATGCCTCCCTGGAATACGTGAACCGGCTATTTGCTCGTAGTGGCAACAGTCTCTGGGTTGGTGCGAGTGACCAGGGTCAAGAGGGCAACTGGATTTGGGTCATGTCCAAGAAACCCCTAGTGGTGGAGGACTGGCGGCTGGACCAGCCGGACAATTACAAAGGCAACGAGCACTGTCTGCAGATAAAAGAAGACTCGGGAAAATACTGGAACGACCTAGCTTGTAATACTACCCTGGGATATCTATGTCAGAAAGACATGGATGACTGTGATGGGTGGCTGCAACTTCAGTGAAAAAGAACC